ACAGTGGGAAGAAGAACAAGGAAGAATTTTATGTGCTATTCTTTCTGACTTTAATAGTTTTCCGAGTATCATAGTGATGTGGTAATGTTTTCCTTTCTTTGTCGCTTTAGGACGTATAATAATTTACTTTTCCGAAGTCTAGGTGCCGTTTATTTTGGCCACACTGTGAGTACCACTCAGATTCCGCTTATTGTACAAAGCAATTACGCGGAATGTAAATGTTATCACAGCTAGCATTTGAAAACGTTTCCTCGACGTTATGTGCCGTTTGGTGTTTGCTTTGAGGATCTCTACTAACATCTTGTGAGTAATTCTTGTTAAGTCGTTTTAATTTAATCAAGTGTTTTCAATTTGATGAGAATCAATTTATCAACAATCTGTAATATATTTTGATCGATTTAATCATAGTTAAACTTTGCAATATTCGTTTCAATTTTAATAATAACATATTTTCCTTTAAAAATAATATTATCTTTCTAATATTAAAACATCTGTTCTGGTCGTAGAAATGATGGCGATGTGGAGGCCGGCGTGGCATCGCGGGAACGCTTAACGAATCACAAATTACAAATGGCAACAGTTTAGCTTATCTTTATGGCTCAGTAGACAGCGCTCGAGCTATCAAATACTAACTTATATAGCCAGCCTGCTTTTGTATCAGATCATTGCGCGATACGCATTTAAACTTAATGATGAAGAAATATATTTTACGTATTGTGAATTTTTAACTTTTTTTATATTAAAAGGTGGCAAGCGAGCAAGATGTAAAATAACTTTTTTCTATTATACTATTTAATTAGTTTTACTAGCATTTGGAGACAAACAAATACATCATTATGTAATATGATAGACACGCGCTACGTAAATGCTGCCTTCGTTGTTGGGAATTAGCCAAAAATCAGAATGCCCGGCGCGCGCCAAACTGTATGTCATATGTAAATACTGATGTGACACGAAATGCGACGCTCGTGCTCCGCTCAGCTGCCTTTCTTTATGTATTGTGTTTTAATGTCAACTTTACCGTGATCTTCATTTTCTTTTTTTTCTGTACTTTTTTTCGTAAGTATCTTCCTTCCAGCCAGTCCCCATCTTCTAAAGGATGCAATTCTCACCTATTGATCGCCATAATTATTAGTCCAGTAGCTTTGATCAGATAGGTTCACCTTACCGGAGGTCTAGCGTAGGTTCTGCGAATAAAATCGACAGGCAATGCGGCAATATCTTTTATAGTAGATACTATATCTTGTAAAGTACAAAACGAAACTTTGTTTGTTTTATTATTGATCTAATTCATAAAGAAAGACGGCAAGTGAAGTTGAAGTTGTGTCGTTTTATTGCTTTGCCTCTGAATTACCGGCTGTTAAGATAATATTTTACTATTGCGAAATTAGCGCCGGCAATTTGTTGTCCGCGACGCTCGGATTTAATCGCCCTTAAAATTGTGACAAAAGTTTTAATGTACACCATTAAGGGATTAATACTGATAATAACAATTTACCTTATTTGGTATATGTACATAAATTAATAGCCGTTTTTATGAAGTAAATTTTAGTAACTTGAGATAAATAATCCAAGGAGACTCTGAGAAAAAATCAGATACTTGACATGATTTTTCGAACGGTAATTGATGATAATGATAAAATTTTAATAATTAACGTATCATTAATTTATATAAATAATGAAGTTTCATCGACAGTTGCGATTGGGTGCGGTCGGTAGTCATTCAAAACATTTGCCTTCGCTCAGGCGATGTTTTTTCAATTCCATTTGACGATTTTATTCCGCTTCATTAAGTATACAAAGGTCAAAAGGAATATTTAATTATTTTTCTTAATTCGCAACATAAATAGGGTCAGCTGGATCTTAAGAGCTAAAATTGAAATGTCAAACGAATTTCTTGAGGCTAAATTGGAAGTTTTAAATTACTAAAATTATAAAAGCCTTCATATTTTTTATTTTGATTTTGCTTTCACTTTTATATTTTCAGTTTTTATATTTCTTTCAATAACTTTTTAGTGCAGCTATTTACAGGATAACCAGTCTCTACCAAGTAAATAAGAAATTAAGAGCTAATAACCTAATAATATTTAGTAACGAAATCTTTCTTATGTAACAAGATATTTTACTGTTCCCTTGATTCCTATCAGGTCATGAAGGTCATATCAAGATTCACGTATTCCTCAATTTTATAAGTAAATAAAGCCGAGATGAGTATCAAGTATATTATTTTACAAACAGAACACGTTTTCTTTCACTCAACATCATTACTATAGCAGGGCTAAGATCTCGGTACATGAAAGTTGGACTCCATCTAGTCTAACATAACATGTTGGATAATATCGATTGACTTGGGATATATGTATGCGAGTATATATAGTTACTCTTCAGGTATACATGAGTATTAGTAGATTTATTGAGTTTGTATACTATTAAATTGAAAATTGTAAAGTAGACAAAAAAATATTTTACGCATTTTTATCTAAAGAAATCTGTAAAATAAATTTAATGTCAATCTTCTAAAGAACTACAAATTAAATTTAAAAAAATCCTATTGCATTTGACAGGTCAATTATTACGAGTAAGTAAGACTAGGGCTATTTAACATTATGCTACGCGACGCGAGAATGTCGTAGCAACGTAGATGAAACCGTAGCACAGTTAGTGCAGAGTATATTTAGTTAATTTATCAGCGGCTTGTTGAAACAATAACACGTCGCCGCAACTATTGCGACGGCCGTACAAAGGGCTTTGGGACCGTGAAATAATGTTGATACGAGACCGGGTCAATGCGCTTTGGACGACGCCTCAAAGCATGAACGCTTTGAACGTCATTTACATTTTCATACAAGTTTATTGAGATTTTATATTGAACAATTAAATTATTTAAACCTTAGTGAGAGCCGTGAAAATGCATGAGGGTTAGCCGTTGTATATTTAGTTTTTGACAGTGACAGTGAGGCAGTATGAGAAAACAACACTAAAGGTCGTCCTTAGTGAACAAACGCCTCTGACTACAGCATTGTAAAGTTACATTAATGATCAATTTCAATCATTATATTTAAAAGTTTCATGTTATTGTACAAGAAGTACAGGATGTTTCATGTTGTGCGGATCTATGTAGGATACAACAAAGTTGTTGTTCATTTGTATCAAGTGCAACTCATTAAAGTGTTGAGCTTAACGCGAAGTATCTTTACAACCAATACGAATTTTATTCCGCGAGGGAACTTAAAATATGCTTTGCTGGAAATTTTGAAAGATAAAAAAACATTGAAAAATTACGATGTAAATAAACACGAGTTCTATTAATTATTATTCTTTGTGTAATAAAAAAAGTTTAATAAATATATGTAGTTTGTTTCTTCAATTTGGACAAAATGCGGGATATAACAATAGCATTTCCTAAATCTCTCTGCAATAGTATATCGTCGACTTGACCATTAAATTGGCGACAGGCCAACAAGCTTTGGTGAAAATAGCGTTTAGATAATCCCAGATTACTAATATCACTGTTTATCCGATTATATTCATGCAATTGCGAACACTTCATACATATATTTTTCAGTTCAACTTTATCACAACAATCGCTGTAACGGTCAGTCTCTACTTGTTTAATATCTATATGACAACATTATTGCCTTTCCATTCCGAATCTCTGAAAAGAAAAAACAAAGTTCAATTTGCTTTTGACATAAACTCACTGAATTAGGTACTTAATACGAGTATAATTAATATTTAAGTAGACTGAGGAAAGACATTTACACATCTGATAACATATGCATATTTTTATTAAATATTATCGATTAACAAACATGCCTTTGAATTAATGAATTATGAATGAATTAATATTAATCAATTTTCTTTCATCATCTTCATTCTTTTGATAACAGCATAATATAATCTCAACTGTTTCGTTAACTTTCTTTTCATGACTGCCTGGTCACGAACAGGTAAATAAATCTAGGTAACTACACTGATCTGATAACCAATCCAACTTGTTATTATAAGAAATATAATTTAATTGCAAAACCAATCGTATAGACTTGCCGCAAAACAGAAAATCTATTTTAATAACTTCACAATATTTTGTTGAGAGTGATATTAAGTTGACCAAATTAAATATTTGAAGCGAGAGCAAATAAAATTAGGTTAAAAGTGTTTTCTTTTTTAACCTATATTCCAATAGTTTTTTGTTAGCTTATTTATTTTTACTTTTTTTAACAGTGGTAGAGCCCGCTTTAACATCTTCGCACGAATCGGCCCGGCTCGCCCGGTGAATTACCACGACCACACAAAAGACAGGCGAGAAGTGGAAGCTATTCCGCGTTTCGTCTGATGAGTGTGCGTCCCGGAGGGCCTCATATAGTCCCCTTTCCCTTCCCACCCTTTTTCTGGTAAGGAAAGGATGGAAAGTGGAAGTGGACTTTCCGGATGAGAGTATGCATGGAAAGGGAAAACATTTTCTTTCTGTGCATCCTCTCCTCCGTCGATTAAAGGTAGGCAACGCATATGCAATTGCGTATATCTATGGGCAACGGTCACCTCGCTATTTCAGCGATTTCAGGTGGCCGCTCGCTCGTTTGCCATAAAAAAAAAAATTAGAAAGCTAGTCTTGAAAAGAGGAAACTGGTAATCATAGTTCTATATTTTAGTTTTTTTTTCTCAAGTTAATAGTACATGTTTACGATACTAGACGAATCGTGGAAAAATACGACTAACTTTAAAAGAAACTATTTTTTTTAAAAAAATAGCAAATTTTACAAGTACTCAAATCTCACTAGCTACAGAGTTGGGAATGGGTACGCGGAACCGTTCGTTTACAAATATGACAATCATCGTCCGTCAGGCGCTCGTCCGGCGGGAATCACGTAACGTCCAGGGATGCTTTAGCATTTCAAAATCCTCGGGAGGTTTTCTTTTTCATGTATTGTTTGAGTTTGGGCTGAGCGCTATCGGTTTCCGATCAGTGTGGGCCGCGCCGCCGCAACGGACGCACGTCTCCCGCTGATCCCATCTCGATTTGTTTATACACGAACACGTGTCCCGACTTCGGAATTATAAACAATCGTCGAGTGGAACACATACGTACATGTGAAGTGCTCGAACTTATCGTGATACTAAAATAAATGTGTAAACAATGAGTCAAGTCAATTAAGCTAGAGATATTATAATTTTATCGGATTTATTTTAATTGATAATATTATGTGATCTTTATGGAGGATTAAATGAGAAATGAAATGGAGAAGTTGTTGTGTTTGTATGGAGTGGGTGAGGAGTGCCGGCGTTTCGCCGTGCGGCTTGCTGTGGCCCTGCTGGTGCTGAGCGCCGCGCATGCTGTCGATATGGAGGAGTTTATCAGTGACTTGGATCTACCAGGTGATAATTTATTTTGTGCAATAAATTAACAAGCTTAGTGTAAACAAATAAAACATTTATTTATAAAATTATAACAATACATGAATTATTCGTTTTTGGAGCTTTAAATTTACCAAGAATTAATTCAATGTGTATGAATAAATAGCCAATTAATAGTAACTCGTTTGAGGACTGATAACTTGTTAATATTTTGTATTATTTCAATACATTATTTTGTTGTGAACATCTCGTACAGGAAGGATGATTTACTTTGAATACTTCATCATTTAGTTGAACAAATATTTTTTCAATGCACTTATTATATATGAGTGTGTTAATGTGAAGTTTGCAAACAATTCAAATATGCGTCAAAAGGTGAGAGAAGATAGTCGAAGTTAAGCAACTTTCTATTTCTGTAGAAACAAAAAAGAGATTGTTGTTAACACAATAATCTGTATCTTATTACGAAGCTGTCTCATCCAAACATTCATTAAGATAGATTACAATAACAGTTATGAGAGCGAGAAGCTTTTTATATCACTTAATCAAAACTTGATCAGACTTAATTAATTGATTCAGATTTAATCGATATAATGATTGTAATACATCGATCCTTTTTGTGGTCCATATCATACGAAGTATTTAAAATATTTTTAAGATTAAACTCCAAAATCGAGTATTGGGTTTGACTGTAAATGGCAATCGAAGATAACTGTCATATCTTCTGCAAGGATGCTTCTTTATCACTATATCTGTCTCCTTTCTACTGGAGGTTGATAACGCGGCGGATTCTTTGATGTCCCGATGTTAGCGACCGACACTAACTACGTAATACCTGACCTTCTCGTTTGCATAATAATTATGTTACGTCACACCAAAGATTGAATTAACTTCTGCCTTCTCCTCACTACTACATTTTGTGTGTTCCAAGTAAATAGCGGAGTCCTGTTTCATTATTGTATTCATTTTTTCTTCACATAAATAACATCAAAACCAGAAGAAACTTGGTACGTTTTGACCGAAATTGAGAAAAAAAGTTTAGGTATAAGTTGCGATCTGACCAAATTTGATTATTGATTCAGTTGGTCATTTCATGAAATCGTCATTTAGTAGATTCTATCTCGTATCTGGAAATCAAAGTTTCACAAATAAATCGATATTCAGTATCTTCATAAAGTCTACATGACTGAAATGCATACGTTAAATATATAACATAGATAAATTAGAAATAACTATTATCATGTTATTGTGTTATAAAGTTAAATATACTAAAATAATACTTAAATATAAACGTGATAATGAACGTGTTCACGTTACAGTGTAACCACAGATAACGAATGTTACAAATAATTTTAATGAACAAATTTCCAGCAGCTCTTTGTTCATAATTACTTTAATAAGATCGTGGGCGGGAAATTGTCTCTTTCATGTAAGTTATAGGATGTGATTGTGTCTCTTACTCGTATATAGAACCTACTATCAACATGTCTGTCATTTGAACAGTTACTTTATTAAGTTTAATCATGACCACGACCAATATTGAAAATCTGCGAAGACGAAGCAGAAGAATATATGTAGTTTTAGGTAAATGAACATTTTATGTATATTAGATGGCAGAACATTTAATCATCAGAACAGAGTGAGCCTGAGCTGCTGGTCTTGAGCTTTTGTGTTCTTCAATAGCCTACTAAAAATAAGTCCAATGCTTTCAGTAATAAATGGTGTTTTAGAAGTAAAAATAAATAACATTTATTTAATTCCAATTAGTAATATGATATTGTATGTACTATTCCACGGTTTTCACACATCATGTATAAATAGTAGAATAAATAATATCAATATTGTATGTAAACACAACAGTTAGCTGCGTGGGCCGCGTTGTTTAGTTGAAATGCTTTGTTAGCTATTTGTTTGGTGGGGAGCACAATAAAGTGATTTAGTAAATTATTGTATTGTAACCAGTTATTCAGTTCCGAATAGGCCTGAAGCAATTTACAATAACAATATTAGTAATTTATCACAAATAATAAATGTACCCATTTCAATATAACACCTCGTAATTTCAAGTTAAACGGTAGAGTTATAAATACAACTATTATTACACAAGATGGTATCCTTTATAACTTTAAATGGAGCTTGTTTCGATTGCTATTACATTGGATGGAATTGTTTATTTCTGATTCTCTTATAAAACAAAGATGGAAATGTTATTGTATCTCTGTTTACTTTAATGTTTTAAAATTATATTGCTTTAGATTAAAGAATTATGTCTGTACGTTAGCGTAGATTAAATAATGGTACTGAAACAAATTTGACACATAAAAGTTTGTGTGAGTCCGGCCCCGGCTGTCGGTCCGGCTCTGGCTGATGGTCCGGTTTCGTTATAACAATCATCGTTTTATTCACAGAAGAGCCATTACGTCGCAATCGCTTCGAATTAAAAACTGTAACAGGGATATTCGCACGGCCAGCGAAATGTCCGCTACCACCCCCCCAATCCCCACCACTATGTATGTATCACATAGCTTTTAATGTTTGATGACATTTTAAATTCACTATTCGCTAACAAAGTTATAAAGTTTAAAAATATGTTAGGTACATGCAGCTAAGTTAATTACTTCACGGAATATTTTTGTATATGTGCTTGTCATCTATTTATTTTTAAGAGATAATTATTTCGTATAAAGATATTAATTATATCAAATATTTTGTAAGAGTTTATTTATATAAACGAGGGCGCCGAGCCGATTATTATTAAGCCTTTGTTAGCGCGTGTTTTTATAAGCTACTTCATTATAACAAGCAACGTTCTATGAAACTTATTCGACAATACTAATTGATTCCGACTACTAGTGTTAGAATCACTTCTAGAATTTCGCCTATTTATATATATTTTATATAGTATAATCTTTAATTCGTATAAATGTGGTTAATTCCACCGAGTTCGAGATAAATACCACGTGACTCATACTCTCGTACATAAATATCACAAATCACTCTTAACTTAGGGTAGGCTCCGAGCCCCTCGGTGGGGACATGCAGTGAGCTGATGATGATGATGATGACCACGTGACTTACCGTGGGTTTCTGAGACCAAAATAAACAACACAATATTGTGTATATAACCATATAACAAAATAACCCTTTTAATAATAGATTTTTTGGATAATTACAGGGATGACTATATGTATTATAGAGATATTTTGATGTCAGAAACCAACGGTTAGTTTACGTGTAGATAAGCAATCACAAATATACGTAATGTGTTTATTACACGTGTGTAGTTTACACAACGTGCAGTGTAAATCTGTCTTCGATGGTATAAACAAGCGAGATATTGCGTTTCCACCGCCGAAGCATGTTGTCATTCCATCTCGTTCACTTTGGAGTAATAGATATAGAAATATATTTTTGTACAGATGTTTCGTTATCATACACACGCAAGTTATAAACATCACATTGTATTTGATGTTAAAATCTGATGAATCCAAGACATAAATATGTTTGTTATAATTTTATTTATCACGCACCTTTACACATATTCTTAATTTTGAATCAATACGTGTAATCGTTAAAAACCGTTTATTAACCAAAGGCAAAAAATTTAAAGTTCTATTAAACTTTACTCTCTCTTTCTGTTTTATTAGGAAGTAATGTGACGTCAACAATATTGGACTTGTAACTCAAGATTCTAGCTGACACAGATGATATTATAATTGTTAATCGGGATACAGTATGAAAATAAACTTAAATCGATGACGTCACGTTACCATGGTTACTAATCATTTTGCATTATTAATTATACAATGGACGACGTATTTTTCAAGTGATTGATTAAATATCTGACTGATATAGCCAAAAATTGTTTTAATCTCCATTAAAATTAATGTTTGTAAATTATATAAAAAAAAATATGAAAATAAAGATACAAAGTTTAAAAGATAAATTCTTCAAGCCTTTTGTCTGTAATTGTAAAATATCTTTCTTAGCTCTATTTCAAATACGCAGCATTTCTTTTCTTGTGATTAAAATCTTTCTTCCTCGTCTTTGAAATATTCTGTAACTAGTGATGTAAACTGCAACTATTATTTAACATTTGCTATTTGCTTTTCTCTTGTTTCCATTCTCTGAGCGTTTACTACAAGTCCTACTTCTTTGCCTGTTGTAAATACGAAATTAACTATTAACATTAGGTAAAAAAATAAAGCTAGATTATTAATTACAAATAGTAAAGTTTGCCTAGTACAATAATGCAGAGATTGTGGAGAATCTTACGAATTATTCACTAATAATTGCTATAATCTTAGAGCTTTGTCCAACATATTAAAATCGAAACTTGAATGTTTACAATTAGACGATTGGACGATATTTGCTTTGAAACTTGTCCTTTGAAAAGTTCCATAAAGTAATGTAATTAGTTGTAAAAGGTAAGGCTTATCAGATTTGCGAGCGTTTACAATCAAAACATAAATGTAGGTGGTGTAATCCTGGCTTCCCGCCAATTTTGCATAAGTGCCGTTTCACAGCGCATAAGTTAAATCAACTGCGACGCCGGGGCGGCTTCGGGGGAAGGGGGAGGGGGGAGGGGTAGAGATTGTAGCGACGCGACGCGGACGGGACATAAAACAATTTGTATAAAAATTAAACTCTGTCCTACGAGTGAGTGACCGGTTAGAGGCTGGTGTGCAGACCGTCGCATCAACTGCACTTATTTTAGTTTGTTGTGTTTCATTTCATATGTTAATATTATTAATTTGAAATTTATTGATGTAATTGAATATTTGAATTATGGCTTTATAATTAGAGTTGATTATAGTTGTCGACACAATCTTAAATGTTTAAAAAATTACTTACTCTTTTACTTAAATAAAATGTTTTCCTACTAACACTAACATTTATATAACATCCCACATAAAGAAGAGCATCCTTTGATTGTATACATCTAAAAGTCGAGAAAATCTATACAAAGTGCCTCCTCCTTTGCAGACTAAATCTAATTTTACTAAATATAATACTTTGTT